AGCATAATACAGTAAAACCTGCCTTAGACGAACCCTTTATTAAATGGAATTTGTCTTAAATGGGAATATTTTCAGGTCCCGTGACTTTGGGGCTGAAAAAAAATGTTAAAAATCCTGAATTAAACCGAAACTGTCTAATGCGGAAACAGAAATCAAAATAAGCCTTTAAATTTCCAGTCTTCCAGAATGCATTGTTTAGAAGAATTTTAGGTATCCTACACATTCTACAGAATTTTGTTTTCTCTAACGCTTTCAATTCAGCTTCTAACGGTACTGCACTACCTGCACTGAAATTCAACTGAACTGTCCCTTCTGGATATTTTACTCAGTAAGGGCTCTAGGCCTACATTTTTACTTTAGACTATAGTCCATTCGCGGAGACAAGAGAGTCCTCGTAAACAAATGCACGCGGTATCTACTTCGCTCTTTGAGTGAAATCATGCAGCGATTACGTGATGCGTGTAGTGTTGCAGGGGCGTCCAAAGTTCACTATTCAGTCTGAATGCAGGTTAACGTGCATCCGAATGCAGTGAGTACACTGAAGTAACTGCGCGCTTTGTCCACTCCTTGCTGTCAGCTGTGGCAATGAGGGGCTTGCTTTGTTTACGCTGTCTCGTCTCCGCGAATGGACTATAGCAGATGTCATCATGGCTACAAAGACAAGAGTTGACCTTGATCTTAACACTAGAGTACACATGATTCATGCGAGTGAGCGAGATAAATTGTCTGTTAAGCAGATCATGAAGATGTTTAACATTGGTAAAACTCAAGCGTATGAGATTCTAAAATGAAGAAAACAGAAATTTTGAAGTGGTGGGAAAATTGTGCTAATGGAAAAATAAAAAGAGAACCGCAAATGAAGACATTAATGAATAGTGTGGGAGTGGTTTGTCAGTGTCAGGGCAAAAAATCATTGCATGTCGGGTCCTATGGTACAGGAATATGCTAAAAAGGTCACTGAAAAACTGGGGAAGACTGAATTCAAAGCATCTAATGGATGGTTGAAAAGCTTTCGCAAAAGACATCAAACAGTTTTTAACAAATTTTGTGTGGTGAATCAAGTGATGTAAATAGTGAGACCACTGGGGAGTGGGTAGCTAAATTACCATCCATAATCGAGGGATACGAACCTGAAAACATAGCAAATGGTGATGAGACTGGAATGTTCTTCTGTGCGCTTCCGAATAAATCGCTATGTCTGAAAGGTGAAAAATGTTCGGGAGGAAAATTGTGCAAAGAAAGACTGTTTTTCTATGTGGTTTTATGTCAGGGGAAATGGAGAAACTTGAGTTCTGGTAAAATTATAAAAAAAGTGAATACTGCAATTTTTTTCTGTTCAGTGTACTGTTTGCATGTGTTCAATGATTACAGTGTGAATAAATTAATGAGTATGGTGTTTTATTTTGTCTCAAATACGTGCATGTCCTGGTTTAATTATTATAGCACACCTTGATTAAACAGAAACCTGGCTTCAGCAGAAAATGTTCTGGACTCTTTGAGATTCCGTTTAAGACAGTTTTTACTGTATTACGATTCATGTTTCATTAGTGTTGTATGTTATGACTTCTGTTCTCTCTGTCTATTATAGAGACCCACAACTGATTATGTAATGTTCTTTGCTTTGCATTTAGGTCAACCAAGGGGTTGGACTTGTGGCCCCTTGTAAAGTAGCATACTTTGAATTACTGGGAGATATTCTTCAGAGTAGTTCAGTTTCACCATTACCTTCTTCAATTATTCTGAATTTGTGTTATGAATTTGTTATATCTTTAGCTGTTTTTAAATATTTGTATTGTATTACACCTTTTCTTACTGAAGGCTATGTGGAGATTTATTAAGACCCGTAGTGCAACTAGGGTTAGGTTTATGCTATGTCTGAACCCTTTACTCTCTGCTCAAGCTTGGACATACATTCCATCCAGAAAGCGTTGTTAACCCAACAACTGAACCAGGGATTATTCAGCTATTGCCCCCGCACAGAGTGTGGGGGTAAAAACAGGAGGAACTGCTAACTGCTTCTTGTTGATTTCTTGCTTGGCTTACTGTTCAGCCCTGAAGAACAAAGTGACATTATTTCCCTGTGAAATGTTGCCTCCCACCCCTCAAACTACATAGAAGACTATTCTTCAGTTTTTACTTCTTCACTGAAAACTGAGTGACATCTGAAAGAGTATTATATTGTGGCATGTAGGACCGTTGCTAGGTAATGGCTTGTACACAATCAAAATTATAACCATATTTAGAATTATATACAGGGGGTTGACAAAATAAAGGAAACTCTAAGAAACTGAGGAACAGAATTTGTTGCACTGGCTACAGTGAAAGAACTTCACTCATTTGTTTACACCCTGTAGTGCTCACGTCAGTGCATTAGTGACTGTGTTGAGTAACAGTCTGTGTGAAAGAGTCAGAAACTGAGACTTATCTGATTTTGGAAGAAGACAGATTGTTGGTGCATGTTTAGCAGGAGCATCTGTGATAAAAACTGCCACATTATTGGATGTATCAAGAGCAACAGTTACTAATGTAATGTTGGCATACATGAGTCATGGGGAGACAATATCAGTGAAGGGGAACAGTGGGTGAAAATCAGCATTGACAGAAAGAGAATATTGCACATTGAGAAGGACTGATCCGAAAAATCATACAATTGCTGCAGCATAGGTGACAGCAGAACTGAAGACCCTGTTTCCATAAAACTGTCTGATGTGAGCTTCACAAATGCAACATCCACAGTAGGGCTGCAACTGCTAAACCTCTAATTACTGAAAGTAATGGTGTCACAACCATAAAACCTGGGTGCCTGACAACTGGAAACATGCGCGTGATATGGTCAAATGAGTAGTCCTTCACACCGTTCCCTATATAAGGAAGAATTTACATTTATATTTGGAGAACACCCAAGACAGCCTACAATCCAGAATGCCTGATTCCAACAGTGAAACATGGGGAATATTCTGTGATGGTTTTGGCAGTACTGTGGCACAGTGGCCCACTATTAACCATCATGGCCAAATTACTGCAAGGGAGTACGTGGACAGGTTGGGTAATCATGCAAATCCCATGATCCAGATGTTATTTCTGAACAATAATGCAGTTTTCCAAGACGATAATGCCTCCATTTATACATCTGCAAATGTTCAGTCATGGTTTGAAGAGAATGAAGGTGAGCATCTTCCCTGGCCAGCAGTCACCAGATTTGAACATCAGTGAACCATTCTTGTCAGTTTTGGTGACTAAGAGTGAGGAACAGATTTCCACCTCCAACATCTCTAAAGCAATTTGAAGATGTTCTTCAAGAAGAATAGTACAAAATTCTGCTAGAGACTGTTTGAAACTTGTATGAGTCCATTCCAAGAACAACTGATGCCATACTGAAGGCAAAAGGTGGTCCAACACCATATTACAGGGTGCGGCAGCATAATTTGCCGATTTGAAGGGTCAATAAAACAAAAGATGTTATAGGTATTGTTGTAATTATTTTTTCTCCATATTCTACAACACTGGAAATTTATGTTTACTCTGTTTTAAAAATTGTATCCAACAAGCGGTGCCCCCCCATTGGCGATACACTGATTTTCCTGAATTCTGAAGTGTTCGTCGACTCTTTCCAGCACAGCGATGTGTATGTTGGCTATGGCTTGCCGAATATTCTCCTTCAGTTGAGCAAGGGTCCTTGGACGATCGGTGTACACAAGGGATTTCAGATACCCCCATACGAAATAGTCACAAGGGGCTAAATCAGGTGAGCGCGCCAGCCACTGAAGATCACCCCTCAAAGAAATCAGGCGCCCGGGGAAGTGTTCCCACAAAACATGCATTGCAGTTCGCACCACGTGTGCCGTGGTTCCATCCTGCTAAACCCTCACATCCCCAACATCCATTTCGTCAAGACTTGGCAAAAAAAAAATTCTTCGATCATTTTCACATAACGAACAGAATTCACTGTGACTGCAACCTCATTCTCTTCAAAAAGTAGGGATCAATAATCCCTACTCTTGACAGTGCACACCAAACAGTTACACATTCACAATGATGGGGCCTCTCATGAAGTTCTCGATGATTGTTATCACTACAGTAACGCATGTTTTGCTTGTTCATGCATTCAGAAAGATGGAAATGAGCCTCGTCACTAAAGAACACAAGTGCAACATCAGGCAAAGTTTCAACGAACGCTTCACATGAATGTTGCCGAGCAGTAAAATCGCGTTCGGTGAGTTCTGACACCACAGCCAACTTGTAAGGATGAAAGTGGAGGTCATCATGAAGAATTTGCCTCACAGATCAGACATTCCAAGGGCAGCTGCATGCTTGCGTGCCGATCACCAAGGAGATCGCAAAAAAGACTGCCTTACCGCCTTGATGTTTTGGGGTGATCTGATGGGCTGTTCCCTTGATCTTCTCTTTTCCACACTGCCAGTTCTCCTGAATGTGTTTGCCCATGTAACAATCGATTGTCAACCAGGAACACGAGCTCGGGCAGAAATATTGAAGTGCGCGCGGAATGCTCCCTGCATGGCGACGATCGAGCGACCATTAGAAAAGTAAGCCTCTACGACAAACGCGCGCTGTTCCTTCATCCAACGCATACTCGGTACTAAAGTGGAAGGAAGAACAAACTTCCCGACCAACCCGTTTGAATGAGACCATTCTCACCCTCTAACGGCTAAACCTCGCTTCCTGGTGCCAAATTCAAATCAGCAAATTATGCTGCCGCACCCTGTAATAAAGAAATGTGTACAGTATCTATAGTGTTTCCATTATTTTGTTCAACCCCTGCATATATAGTTGAGCTTTCCACCTGCTTCTGCTGGTTTCTTGCTTGGCTTACTTCTGAAGATGAAGGTGTATGTTCCCCCAAGATACTGGACTCACTAAGAACTACAAAGCATGACAACCCAAAAGACCATATTCCTCATAGTTACCATCATGACAACCACAACCCAACAATCTTATATCAGTTTCCTTATTTTATTAATCAATATTTTTATGCATCTCACTTGTTAACAATCTCTGGATGTCTTCCTCAGTGCGAAGATGCTGTGCAGCCATTAATAAACTGTCTTGCTCAGACAGTGTCTCTGACAGAACAGACGACTGAGATGTGGACGGAATAAGACTCAGCAGGTGAGCTAAGTCACCTACCCTTGATGAGGATGGTGGTTCAAGCTTGATCATTTCTTCTCTGTTCGCTTCTTCAAAAACCTGTATGCAAAGTGGGGGAAAACGTACTGCCAACAGTATCTTCCACGGGAATTTTACTCCAAGTTTTCATTAAAATTTATGTTAGAAAACTAACCTTAAAAACACAACATTAATACACTTAAAATACAAGAAACACAGTTACTGAATGAACTATTTCATCTCCATTACTTGTCACAATAAATGCAGTGTTTACACACTCAGGTATACCACAACATATAAAAGCCAACTGTAAAATCTTCTCACTTATTATCAACTGCACAATGCGGCAAATGCCAACAACAGAAATGTTAGTACTAGCATATTGTTTTACAATGTGTTGGTAACAGGAAATCTAACAGATCATTATACTAAATCAATATGTTACACAAAATATTTGGGGGGGGGGACCATAAATATCTGTCACTTTTCTATTTGGTCATAGTCACATTCTTTCCCCTAGCTGCAGTGTTTGTTTGTCACTTGAATTCATGTGAGTATGGGCTCTCTCCACATCTTTAAGTTAAATGTAGCTGACTGTGCAGTAGAAAACCCAAACAAAGCAACAAGAGGAAATATTTACACCCTCCTTTCATCCTGCACTAAAACTTAAATGCTGTACCAGAAAAACTCCATACAGCTTGCACAGTTTGCCAATTTAAAATCCAGTGGTTAAAGAATAAACACCAAGATTTGGCTGTTGACTTGGATTCATTGAAAAAATCTCCTTATAACTTAATCTCAGCAAAAATGTCATAATGCAGCTGACATTATATGGGACACTTTACAGTCTCTAAGGTTAGTCACTATTCAACAATGTAACAATTTATACGACTTCATTATCCTTTGAAGAAAGTATAATAAAACAATTCTGTCATCACCTTGAATGTCTGACTTTGCAAATCACCAGATGGATATGGTGGTGGAGGTGGATGACCATATACTAGCCCCAGCGTAGGACCCGCTGGTTGCTCCAAGGCAGGAACTGCTGGCAGAATGGAAGATTCTTCTGACTTTGGTACCACACCTGTAGCCCCTGGGACATTTGTTCCTTCTGCTGCATATACTGGAGAAGCTACCATCTGTCTCTTTATTAGAGAAGGATCTTCAAGCAATGGAGCAGGAGGCAACTCTTCAGTCTCCTCCACCTTACTTTCCATGTATGATGGCGGTGATCTTGATAGTAACATAACCTCTTCCATTCTTCCTTCAAACCCTGATGTAGGTCCTAGGCAGTGAAGGGCAAAACAGTTCAATGTCAGGAAGCAATTAGATACTTAATGCATGTTTCTGGTTTTTCCAATATAAGGTGCAACAGTCCTGCACTCTTTACTTCAGTACCTTCTTTTTATCTGCAAAAAGGAAAGAAGGAATAGAGTTTCAGGATATAATAAATAGCACAAGCAAAATATAACTGGTCTTCTTACCATAAACAGTAGCATGAGTTTGGAGCTGTTCTACTGCTCTGGTCTCAGCGCTGGCTGTAGAAGTGGATGGGGTTAACAGTGACTTTGATGGTGCGACAGAAGGGACAGTTATTTTATGCCTCCTACCACCTCGAGCCCCTCGGGAAGTTGCTGGAACACTTCCTTGATGGTGACTTTTCTTGATGTGCCTTACCTACATGGAAGCAATTTTAATAATGTAAGGTAAAGGTAAAGCTGTCCCTGTGCTTAATTAATTTATTATGGACCATACCATGAAGATGTATTGGGAAGTGGAGGTACAGGTCCCCAATTCTTGACCTCAGCACTAGATGGAAGTGTGGGGTGCCAAAAGTACAGCTTACATCGGTACAAAGTTCCTACAGTTATGGTCTTATATAACTATAATCATATACAGTCTTTTACCTCTAGATTGCAAAGCATGAATCTGACACTGCAGCTACTCTCTATCATCAGTACAGGACAATTTTAACGAAAAGTAAATTGTGTCAACATATTTTATTACAACTCCCCAGTGTAAAAGTTTGTGACACTGTTCAGTGGTTCTCAGGTTAATTCACATGTACATATGAACAAACTGAGTGAACTTACCATATGGGTGGTCTGTAGGGTTATGAATGCACCTAAAACATTAGGGCCTAAGCTTTGGGGTCTCTCTTGTAGATACACATTGTAGGTGCCATCATCTCATTACAGTGCATGCCTTGGTTTAAATATAAACTTGTATGCTGCAAAACCATTCTGATAATTAAAATGGTGATTACAGCAAAGGCTGACAGCATCACATGAGGTTACCCTTTAATGTAACACAGGCTCTGATTCTCAAAGCAAAGTTTTCAGGGAGAAGGGTGTATGTGATATCTGTAATACATAAATTTATTCATTTTTATACATGACATATGGTATGTTTACATGGATTGTCCTTGTGGCCTTAAAAATAACACCAACAAAAGAAACTGATGTTTATTGTTACTGATTAATCTAAAGCAATAAAAAATAAAACACAGACGTTCAGCCAATTAATGTCTTCCTCACCAGGTGATCCTTGCGTCCAAAGCGCTGGGGACAAAACTGGCATAGAAAGTCTCTCTTTCCTGTGTGAACTACAAGGTGTCTCCGCACATCTTTACGTGTAAAGAAACGTCGCTCACAGTGATCACACCGAAATTTACGATCTGCTGGACTCTTCACTGTTCTGGATCCTGTATGAACCTAACACACAAACTATATTACAATATTACATGAAAATAATGTTTCAACGCTTCTGACATACACATTACCAATCGTAATACAACTGTCTACAATATGATAGAATTTAATGCATTTTTCTGCCAAATTTAAGTACATCTGAATCCTTCAAAGCTTTCAGTGAAACATGGTTTACTACAGTTCACATACTTGGTAAGGAAAAAGGCTGTCTCACTTTTGGAATATTATGTTTAGCTAAATCTTTCTGCCTAAGTTGGGCTTAATATGCAGGTTAAATGTCATGGTGAATTATCCACTTGTCAAATTTCCAGTTTGACAGCCATTTGCAATACACCGCATCATGGCGATATATGAGCACTTGTACATGACACTGCACAGAGATGCGCCTGCGATGAACATGTCCTAACTTATTACTGCAGGTCCAGGCCTGTTTACAGCCCATTCAATTGTTTTGTCTGTCAACAATTACTTCACACATACATACATACATACATCAAGCGGCCTCCGTAGTCTACGGGTAACGTTCCCACCTCATGACTCAAGGTACGTGGGTTCAAACCCGGCAGAGGTCGTGGAATTCTTAAGGGCAGAAAAATTCAGGGAACAAGTCCTCCGGGAGGGACTTCAAGCCGTGGGTCCCGTGTCGTAGATTTACAGCACGTAAAAGAACCTCATGTCTCTAGGAGACCTCGGAGCTAAATTTGGCCAAAAAGTTTCCTGCCCAAAGTAGTTTCCAATGCCTCCGGTAGATGGGGAAGTATTAGGTACCACTACCAGAGGAGGGGGGACCTCTCTGACAGTAAGGGACTAACTATTAGATACCACTGCCAGCAGAAGGTTGGAACCTCTCTGGCAGAAAGGGGCTGATAGTAAGCACCAATACCGGTAGGGTATGGAGACAGTAGAAATTAAAAGGGGGACGCACAATGGACCAATAACTGGTCTAAGTGCATGGGGAAGCCCACCCCCTCAATACTGAATACTGAATACATATATCAGCGTTTCAGAGTATTCATAAGTGTGCAACTGGCACTGAATATAGATAAAATCACAAAGACATCAATTTGACCACAGTTAAAATCTAAACTGAATATCTCAATTAAATAGCTACAATGTTACACATACAATTATACCAACAAGATAATTAACAATACATAATAATTTTCCTTCCTACAGGTATACATATTGTAACGTGTTTACGTTATTGAATACACCGTAGAGCTCGTTAATTGGTTTATTGAACAATCTACAAATATCGGCTACAATTACTTAACACACAGTTACGGGTTTCCACAGTTTACAAACCCTACAACAAAATCTCTTAACACAATCTTCACTTGTCTTCACGTACTAATAACGCAGGAGCTATACAAGTCTCCCTGAATTATACACTCCAGATATAACTGGTTATCCCGAACTATCACTGATTCTCGCACACGCAGCTGTAGCTTGTAACTTGCGAACTGAGAACCCGTTGATAACACACTCACTCTCGCTTGCTGCTCAGCTGGCTTTTATTCCGTTCACTGTTGCTAGTGTGACGTGGCGTATAGCCTAGCAACGCTGTTACCCCTTGGTGACGTCACCGCTGTTGACTCGCTTTGCATAGCTTCAAGGTTGCTGGGACTCGGCTAACTTCGGCTCCGCTCATGACGTCACCGTGGGGAGAGTTGCGGGGTGATGACTCACCTATTATGCGAGCGCCACGTTACCGCTACGTGTCGCTGGGGAGGTAGGGGTCAACATGTCACAATATGCATGCAATGAAGAACTATAGTTGTCACATATTTAGTTATAAATTGCACAGTAATATAATGAAATATACCTAAATAAAAATATTTCTGACTATAAATCCTTACAATAAAGCAAAAATTCATCAACTGAATAAAACGAATTTTTGATTAATATTTCTTTTAGTTTTCCTAGAAAAAGTTTCTTGTCTTGTTCTAAATCTCTTACATAGAGAGGCAAACTGTTGAAAATTTTAACACACATATAATAAACTCCTTTTTGCCTTACTGCTAAATGTGACTGTAACACATGTAGATTCCCTCTGTGTCTTGTGGTCTTATCATAGATTGCATCATTAAAAATAAAATACTCAATACTTATCATAAAAATCATCAAAGATAATATATATTGGGAGGCCAATGTTAATATGCTCAGTTTTTTTAATACCGGCCTGCATGTATCTCTTTGTTTCAATCCCATCATCACCCTAACAGTTTTCTTCTGTTAAGAAAAATCTTCTTAGCATCTGGTGAGTTACCCAGAAAACTATGAATTAAAACATGCGTGATATATACATCAATATTACTGCACAACTTCATATTTCTTAATGAATTAAATTGAATTGAATTTATTTACATTCTATAAATCCTAAGCAGGTTAGTACCTTTGGATAGAGAACAAGTCAAAAGGTTACATACATAAGTACAGGCAATTTTAGCTTAAAAATTAATATAACTTAATTTTACATCATTCTCTATTTACATTGAAGTATTCATCTAAAGAGTAGAAGGAATGAGCATGTAGATAATTCTTTAACTCTGATTTAAACTTTTTAGTATCATTGCCCAAGTTTTTAATACTTTGTGGCAGATTGTTGAACACTTTTATGCCAGTAAAGTAGACTCCTTTTTGATATACTGATAAAGTTGATGAGGGTAGGTGGAAGTTATATTTTTGTCTAGTATTCATGTTATAGACATCAGAATTTAATTTGAATTTATCTTTGTTGTAAACAACAAATAAGAGAAGCGATAATATGTATTGCGATTGAAGAGGTAGAATTTTTAATTTCTTAAATAATTCTCTACATGAATCTCTACTTCTACATCCTGTAATGATTCTAATTATATTCTTTTGTATTTTAAAAATTATTACACTATGTGAAGAGTTCCCCCAAAATATTAATCCATAGTTCATAATAGAATGAAAGTAGGCACGGTAAACCATCTTCAATGTTTCCTGTGACATATAAGGCTTAATTGATCTCATTGCATAGCAAGCTGCATTTAATTTAATTTAATTTACCCAATCTGGGTAACATTACTTTAACGTGTGTTTTCCAGTTTAAAAACTTATCTATTTCAAGGCTCAAAAATTTGATATTCATTGCATCATATAATACCTCATTTTTATACTGCAATTGCATTGGCATATTTCCATGATTAATTGTTTCAAATTTTAACACTTTAGTTTTCTTCATATTTAAAGACAGGCCATTACTTGTAAACCAAAGGTTTAAGGGATTTAACACATGCCTGAACTTGGTTTCGATATCCTGGATTTTATCACCCGATACTAATACACTAGTATCATCTGCATACAACAATAACTTGATATCAGTGTTTAGACCTAGTGATAGATCATTAATACATAACAGAAACAGCAAGGGACCCAACATCGATCCTTGCAGCACTCCACATTTAACAGTTTTCCAACCTGAACGAATTTTCCCTTTCTCACTATTGTACAATTCAACTCTTTGTTTCATCACACATTCATCCAACAATGTCTCAGAGTACAGAATGTGTGTGTATTAACTTTTGTGACAAGATTGGAAAGATTCCAATGATAACATGATCCATACAAATATCACTTGGAGAATGAACCAAGCAAGAGTTTCTGAATAGTTCTATCATTCTAAAGTGGAATGATGCCTGTAAAATGTAATGTGTCCTGGCCAACATTCAACCAGGAGAAATGATGAATTAGAAGTCAACGTACATGACATGGTGCAAAATTCCAGAAAACTGACCTCATAAAATTGCTGAAGAGATAGAAATTGCAATGAAGTCTTCTTGTGGGATCAGCCATGTCAAAATGAAGTTAGCATCCAATGTCTGAGACTGTCTTGTCTCATCAGGGGATGATGTGACAAGTGTTATGGCTGCACATTACATTTACACCCACAGATTATGTTCTTGGCTGTCCCAGTGCATAATGCAGTGGGAATAGCAGACAAATTCATACATTCAGTGGTGTCTGTTCCAGCAGAGACCAGTAGGGTAACTGTGGATACAGTCAGGCAGCCTGTCATCACAATCCATTATCAGTATTTGTATTTAAGCATCCTATTACATTCTACAAAATATATGACACAAACTCTGTCCTAAGTGCAACAATTTATTGTAGTTCTTTTGTCTTCTTTTCTTCGACACTACATGTTTCGGCCATAAATGGCCATCATCAGGTGTATATCTCTCACGTAGCTGTTACACTGCACGTAGTTTAAAATTTAAAAACACCAGCTTTCTTAATTGTTCATTTCTCCGTTGTTAATAGGTCCCGATATATCAGAATCCCCTTGCTGATATTTGTCAGATATGTATAAAATCTTTGTTAATTTACATACATCAATTTGATTTTTGAATTTTGGTATTTTTAAAATCTTCA